ACAGACATGGGGAGAAAGAAATTATATAAATTATGAAGTTTTCCTATTTGCATCCTTTATGTCTTCAGGTTTATTTGAATGCTTGGAAGGTGTATGAAGAAAAAGGCTGCATGACTGTCTCAGTGAGACTTAGTAACCTAAACAACTAATTGACTCTGTCTTTCCCATAGTTCGGAAGAAAGCTTATAGTAAGGTCAGAAAACAAATCCAAGTCTTTCAGAGCAAAAAGCTCACTCTGAAAGACCATACTCTTTCTTTAATCCTCACAGTAGATTCAAGAAGATTCAGCAACAACCTTAGCAGACTGATTTATTTAATTATTTTCATTGTATGGTGGTTTGGGTTTTTTTTTGTAATACTCACTGTGAAAGAACACTTGCAAAAACACCAGTTCTAACAATTTCCAATTAGACCACAATCTCTTGAAGCAGCTGGGAGAGAGTGTCTCTCTCCAGAGACACATATCAAAATCCAAACGCACAGGCCATGATAACAGAGCTGTATAAAATGTGTGATGATCTTATCTCCAACTTAAAATTAGAGATCTAGGTAGTTCAGTCTAAATGCATAGCCCCCACCAGGTGTTTTGGAGAGGAGTGGCGAAACTACACCTCTCCCTTGTGCTTCCTCAGCTAAGACTTTAAACCCTCCATAACTCTTTCCAGCCAATTGTCTCTGTTTAGAGCAGATTCCGCAGTTACTTCCTCTCACAACTATAGTTCTTGTCAACTTGCGTTATGCATGGCTCAGGAGACAGACAAACAGGATACAGAGCCTTTCACCTCTAGGTCATCAGTTCAAACATAGCCCATGTTCATAGGGACCAAAAGTTGTTATCAATAGATGGCTTTTTGGACTCCTCAGTAAACCTCCATTCCATCCGCATAAACCAGTATGTACTCCAGACCCAAAATCCTGCATTATCTTAAAAGATGTCTGCCATGGAGAAAAGGAAATGGAATTCCAATCTTTATCCTAAAACAACTGTCCCCCAAAAATATAGAATATTCACACTTTCTTCTTCCTTTCCTTCGAACATTAGAAATTCATAGTGCAAGACTGTAAGACAATGGAATAATGAAAATATATTCTAAAAGGCTGCAAGCAGAGAAAGTCAAAAGAAAAGAGGTCTTTTTTTAAAAGACCAATGAAAGCTTTGCTGCATTAACAAACCTCAGTGAACGTTTATGAGACAAATTATCTTTGCCTAAAACAAACATTCCTCATTGTTTTGTTAAGACAGGGATTGTGAATGCTCCTCTCTCTGACTCTTCCAGGAAAAGCAAAACTTAGGAAGGTCAGTTTTGAAATTCCTTGTACCTGCACACATCAGCTATCAGGTCTTTGCACTGATGCTATGGATGTCCTTGCTATTGCTCAATCACTTACTGATAAAGGCCAGGATACACTCACTCTTTGGATTTGTTGCCTGCTAAGCCACAAGGAAATTAGGATTTGAATTACCTGCAAGTTCCATGGGATAGCCACCTCTAGGCTGTAGTATAGGGAATTGTAAGTCACAGGCAAAGTAGTAACTGTAGCGTAGCTAATGAAAGAGATATCTGAGCTGGAGCAGTAGCCTGCAGCAGAGTCTAAACCTTCTGCACTCCATGTGATTTCAAGGTATGGTACATCAAAGCTATGGCATCTCCCCTCTCCCTTAGATCTTTTTATGGTATGACAATGACATGTCCAAACCCCTCAATTCAGCGTATCGTCCTTTGACTTTTAAGACTTCCTGTCTGGCAACTCTTTCCACAGGAAAATTATCAGATCTGAATCTCTTAAATAATAGAAATTTAGTTTTAGATTTAAAGAGTATTGATGATTTCTCAGAAAGCACATCAACCATCAGTGGACTCTACAAAACTACTAGTGAACATGGAGTCAAAATGCTAAAAGACATCTGCACTTTTATCTCACCTAAGTGATCTCTCCGTGATGACATTAGGAACTATAACTTCCCTTGCAATTCTAAAACTGGGATGCTGCTTGTCTTGCCTGACAGAGCAAGGGAATGGCAGAGTGCAGGCCTTGATCTCAGCGTTTCCGTATTTTCAACACACTAAAGGCAGCACAGTCTACAGACCACCTTGCAGAAGGAAGCAGTGCAATTCAGACAACACACCCTGCAGTCTGTTCTCTGACCAGAGTAGCAAGGGCACTGGACTGTTTACGTCTTTCTGCTGAGCTACTCCAACAGCCCTGCAACAACATGCTGCCAGCTACTCTAAGCAGATGTCAAACCAGTGTCCTGTTCAGAGGAAACAGTGTATAGTAGTCAACTGATAAGATCTACCACACCGATTCACATCTAGCAAGTTTTGATTGTAACAAGAGACAGCATAGTGCCATAGCTATTATGTTATTCTTAAAGCTTTTATATTTCTGCAGAAGACCTCCCAGACAGCATGTGTACACAGGTATCATGTAGCACATATACCACTGTCGAAGATGCATCAGATTTGCTGCAATGCTGATTGATCTGATGTGTACAGTAGATCTGATGCATTTTGGACATGTCTGCACACAGGCTTTAGAGTTGATTTACTCATACACAGTGGCCGTTGTTGAGGATTTTCTGTTGTCCAGTGGTATGGCAGGAGACGTTGCCTACCCAGACAACAGAAATCCGACAAACAGTCCAAAAGTAAATCTAGATTACACAGTAGCCCTGTAGACACCTGACTATGCATAGCTAGTTCCAAATGGAAACAGTCAGATCCAGACTGTTAGCAGGAGCTCCCTGCAGTGGTGCCAGGCACACAAAGAGGCAATGACAATGATCATAAATCCAGTAAGGGAAGACACAGAGCAATCGGTGTGACTGAGGCTGTATGAAAAGCAGGCAGGGATGAAGGTGGCAATGATGCTGTAGAAATCAGGAAGAAGAAAATAGCAGCAGTATTATTCCTGGGGTGGGTGTGCATGAGGTGCAAGGCAGCAGCATCAGCCCCAGTGGGATAGGATGACAGCTACAGGGGGGCAGGGGCAGCCAAACTGCCACGGAGAGAGAACTGGGGATTCTGGGGTTACAGCAGCAGTGGGTGGCTCTCCAAGAAGATGGAAAGTGAAGACACAACAGCGGAAGGAGCAACTGGTCACATACCAGTTAGAAACCATTATTCTAGAAATTTATTTTTAATTATGGTTTTAATTTTTTTTTAACAAGTCAATTTGTCAGAGAGGGAAAAAACCAAACCACAACACATTTTCTGCACTTCATTCTCACAGTCCCATGTACACAAAAGATTAGCATAGAGCTACCAGATAGGTCTAAAGAAAGGTATATGGAGTGAAATGTACTTTTTTCTTGGATAATGAATTTTATTTAAATACATCATGATAGATTAATCAGGTATTAATGTACTCTGAAAGATCATTACTCTCTAAGGATCTTATTATTCTTGCTTCTTAAACTGTTTTAAGTATTTTAAAAAAAAAATACACTTTACTTCACATTTTATAATCATAATTTCACTGCATGTCATGCTTATTTAAGTAAACATTATTTTTCATGGCAATCACTAAGGTCCTAAAAGTCTTTATATTTAATATAACATTTGTTCACTCGCAGTGACATTCTTGAATGACAGACAGGTATTACGAAAAGAAGACTACACGTACCAAGCTACAGGATTTAGAATACTTACTTGTCTACATTAGTGTTTGCTATTCTATCAGTTTACTTACAAATGTCATATTTTACTTCTAGAAATAAAGTTCACTCACCTTTTTACATTCATCTGTTCTTTCAGTTTGCTGTACATTTCCAGCACTGCAGAGAAACAAGCAGATTAACCCATGGATTTTATTATGGCTTTAGTTAATAAAAGAGGAAAATATATACTGTAAAGGACAAAGTAAACCATAGAAAAGGATATGTTAAATTTACCTTATTTAATTCCTACTGTAACATAAATGTGATAAAACTAGCAAAAAAAAATTATAGAATGCAGCTAAAAAAGAAAAAAGAACTGAACTCTTAACAGCTTTTAAATGAAAAAGAATTAAGATTAAACAAAACAGTAGACACTATATATATCAAGCATATTAATTCACTTACTACATACCATAACTTTATCTGCATTACCAGTCTATGACCTGTCTCCGTTAAATGGCAACAGTACCACCTACTGTACTCATAACAAGTCAACAACAAGACTTTACAAAGAAAAATTCTCAAATCTGTTTTATGCCAATATCACGAACAGGATAAAACCCTTACAGACCTGTGTGTAATCCTATAATACTACCTTTCTGAAACATCATTTAGAGCCCTTATGTTTTCTTAAAAAAAAAAGCCTGTAATGACACAGAGCTAAAAGTACAACACTGAAATAGAATCATTAGTATTTTCCCTAGAATTCAAACAGTAAAAACCACCCTCTTAAGCAACAAATTCATCATTTAGCATATTAAAAATATTACTTCCTTTAAAGCTGTATGTGGCTACATTGTTTGCATCATTTATATCTGTCTCACTGTCTTCTCACAAAGCGGCATAATTGCTTTACGTCAAATATTGTAAAAGACATGGAACCAACACGTTGACATCTTTTTAAAACCCGTTAATGTTTTTGTTAAACTGGATGTTACAGGACGACAACTTAAAAAATAAAATTCTTTTCCATTTTGGCTATTGTGACTTACTTTATTTAATTTGCCATCATATTTACCTATAGGTCACTCACCTGGAAGACACAACTGTAGTTTTTCCACAACTGTTGTAATATTCCGTTGCTGAACTCTACATCGGATGATTTCCTCTGTTTGGGCTATCACCTTAGAGATTTAAAAGAAAAAAAAAAAAGAAAATAACAATTAAGTTATGCAAATAAATTTAATTTGCTACAAATATTCATAATGCCCATATAGGAAGCACCATTTTCTCACCTCTTTCCCAGCATCCTGAAGCCTTCGGTTGGTATCAGTAACTTGGACCTTAAAAATAATTTCACCTTTGTTAGACAAATATGCATATATTGCCCTGATGTGACTGCTCACCCTTGTAATCAGATCATGCTTCATGAGAAACTTAGAACAAAGAAATGCAAATTCAAATTAACTCTACAGCTTGAACTTGAACTTTTGATCGCAAAGGGCTTTTGTTAACTTCAATTACTTATGACAGTTCTTTCTAACAGATTCTGTGGCAAACTTCTCAAATTTACTTGGGATTTTTGAACTTTCCTTGTTTCTGTAGGTCTGTCAAACAATTCAAATCATTGACCCAATTGACCACTGGTCCCTTTTTGATAACCGCAATGAGCTCTAGGGGCCATTCATTGTCTGTAAGAAACGGTGATTGCATTTTATGGTAATTAAACATTCATACTTTGCTGAATGCAAACACTGGGTGGTTGATTAACATCAAACGTGGAAATCTCCAAACCACAGCAACATTTTAATGCTGCAGGTGCAGGCAAAGCTCGACCTCAGATTTTCCCACATAGTAAGTGACTCATTAGGTCATCATAATAAGGAAGCACATTCTAGTTTATTAAAAATCTCATTAATTTCTGAACAAAGATGCTCAATGACCTCATTGACGCTGTATTTGGTCTCTTGTTATCTGAATATCCTTTATATAATGCTCTTCTAATCATAACCTCTGATGAACTATGCTCATTCTGTCTGGTGTGCATATTTTGCTCTCAAAAGTGTAAAGAGAGCTAAAAGGGACAAATCTCATAATTCACTATTCTGCGTTCTGATTTGGGAGTAAATCTTAGTTCTCATTTCTAATGAAAACTACTAACTCCGCCTACTCTCCTACTCATTACAGAGTAAAGAAAATTTATTTTTCATGCATAATTGCAGTATTTTTATTTTTCTAATCAAGATTTTAAATTTTCCTAAGGTCTGACATATAAATGCATGATTAGAAAAAGACCTATGTAAGAAATATTGGTTTTACCATTTGTTGTTCTTTACCTTCTGAGAAAACCTTTAAAAAGGGTAAAATAATTTTGGTAACATTTTCTGAAAACATACATTAAAAAAAAATCAGAATTAGACCTAATAAAATATTCAGCTTTGTAAATGTAAATTACTGGATCAGGCAACACAGCTCTAATCACAAATCCTGAATAATCCACTTTTAAAAAATTGTTGCAAACATCACAGTGTATGTGATAATCACTAAATTCTTACTCTTCAGTAAGAGTCAAGTTCCTTCTTTTAAATTCAAAGACAATGATATATGAAACTCTGAAAAACTAGTTCCTTACCTTCAATTTTTCTGCATCAGCCCTAACTTTAAGAAGTTCTGTAATAGCATCCACAAAGCCCTGATGGTGAAAATTGCACATCTTTTCTATCTCCCTGTCATGGTTACGTATGCAGGCATCTAGTTTTTCCATAAACCTCTGATGTGCGTTTGGTTGGTCATCATATACAGACCTGTTAAATACAAATAAGAAAATCAAAGTTTACTTTTTCCCCCAGTTAAAAACAGTATGCCAGGATCTTTATTGAAATCTCTCTCTTAAAAAGAAAATAAAAGCACACAAACTTGATGTTACGGTGGCATCATTTGTGATCCACTCCACCAAAATCAGCATTAAAAGAAAGAGATGACGCAAAACCGAGAACTGAACCCAGCCCTTATGGCATTAATCCAGGTGCTTAACCTGTTACGTCATGGCTGACCTGAGCCTCACTGGCCTGTTAGTTATGCCCTAATGCTCAAATACAGGTACAAAAGAATCAGTTTCTCCAACCACCTCAAATAGCATGGATCGCCTTTCCATCAAATTCCACTCTTTGCTAAATATAAAGAAGTGCAAACATAGAAATTTGCTTTTCCGGTATTCCTAACATCAGAGTTACCCAACTAAATCAGGGTTGGATGCTTCCAGCCAGAACGAACGGAACACTATGCGGCAGCAGCTGGACCCCTGGCAGAAGGCAATCCCCACTGCTCCCTGCCTCCTCCTGCCCGCGCTCAACATCTCCTAAAGCAAAACCATGACATGCACGTGCCTAAGGCTGCTACCTCAATGGGATCTAACTTTCAGGAATGGCTAAAATCAGGTCTTTTGGTTTATTTTATTAATTGTTTGAATAGTACACTTCTAAACCTCAAGCAGGAAACGTAACTCCAGGAGAAATTACCAGCGTAGCTTGTTGAGCTGTGTCAGAAATGGAAAGCTGCATGGAAAAATGCTCAAGCGTGAGAGAGAGCAAAGGAGACGGGGGCAACTTAAAGTTTTAGACTTCAGCAGAGAAAGCAAGAAAAGAGGTATTACAGAGAACTGTACTGGAAACCAGAGGTATGAAGTCTCCCAAGAAAGGTAAGGCAAAGGCAGTTCCAAAATTTGATTAATAACTTGATATTGCAACAACAGCAAAGACAGGTAATTTTTGAAGCAGCTTTTCAGATAGAATGAGAGCGGCAATACAAGGATAACATAGTCATACATCTACAAACATGTTTGTACTGCAAACTACAAGCATTCAAAAAAATCAGATCAAAAATCTTTAAATTGCTTTTTTTAGCCTCTAATTTCCTTTCATAATTACAAAGTTTTCTCCAGAAATCCATAAGGAGAAGCTGCTTTAAAAAAAATAAAAAAATTAAAAAGATCTTAAGCGGGGTGGGGGGCGGGGAGGAAGGCTGAAGTTCCAATGGTCTCAATATAAGTACAGTCTTAAGTTCAAGGCCCAGGCAACACTCAGTCAAAGCCTCCAAAACTCTTGAGTAGAGAGAAAGTACTTCCCTATTCGTCTTCTCAGAGAAGTATGACTTCCCATATTCTTTAAGATCCTCTTTTCTAACCAGACAGCTGGGCTCTGCCAAAATCTGGGGTCATCATCACCCGTTCAACAAACCTATAGCTGAGTGTCTGACAAGAACTTGACCTTTCAAAGAAGAAAAGGGTATAGAAGAGTTCGAAAAGACTTGTAACTAGATTCTTCATCCTTTCTGAGTTCCTTTTCACCTTGGACAATATACTCAGTGAAGCAACGGAAGTTAGAGACATGAGAAAGGTAATAAGCTGTCCTACTTGCCAAAGGAAGAAAGCCAATTCCTATTAGCCTGCTTGCTATAGACATTTTCTCAGGGAAAAATCTATTCAATAAAATATTCCTGGAATATCCCCCTTTTGCTTATGATTAATAGGAAAATAAGGCTATGGTACTGAAAGGCAGGCTCTTTCCTCCAAAGTGCCCCAGGGGAAAATCCAAGGTTGTTGACCCATGAAGTGGTTCACAAAGGGAAAGATAGCCTTCACCCTTTCCACCACCGCAGTTTGAAATGACAGCTGGAAGGAGCAAATGCGTGACAGTCAGTCTCTCCTCCTGAGGTTCCTGTCAGATTGCCTGAAAGGGATCCCTCAAGGCTGCCCAGGACAACTGAAGTTTAAAGGGCTGTGGTGGAAGATCATGAGTGACCCACACCTGCCAGTGGGAAACACCTGCACCCAAAACCTGGTGCTGGCTGGAGAGAGAAGCAGCAACCTGGCCTGGGAGGAAAGAAAGGTGCAAGACGCATAGTCAGCATTAAGTGAGCTCTCAATTAGGCAACCAACTGTTCTGCATCTGAAGACATGGGGGGGAAGCATGCAGACCGTATCACTGTTACCTGTAAAGAAATGGGGAAGGAATGAGAAAAAGGCTCAACAACTGATGTTGTAGTGCTCCAAAATACGCAGTAGTTACTGGTTACATGAGTGCTGCTCTGTCTCTGTAAGAAGAGGGTCAGAGATGTTGGAACCTACAGGGTGGACAGAGAGGGACATCCACCTGTCTCCAAAATACCGTTCCTCAAGAAGATATAAAAAGATTAGGAGGGCCAGAGGCATCAGATAGTGGCATGTGCCTTCACACATATCGGGCATGCATGAGCTTCCCCTGAATGGGTTGTACTCGCCACCTATACTGCACTGGATGCTAAAGCAAAAACCAGCAAAAAGTTCAATTTATTACTGCTTCCTTGAGCCTTTCATTAAGGGTGGAAGGAGTCTCCAAGTTTAGGTCTCCTTCCAATGTTCTCAAAGGGAAGTGAGAAAGGAGTATCATTATCACAAAGACAGGAGACTTCCATCTATCGCTGTGAACTCGTAACTGTAAGTTGTGTAACATAACTGTTAAGTGAAAACAGTAGTAAAACACAGTAGACCAAATATACCTAAAATGAGAACAAGACTGTAAAAGAGATGGTGCAAGAGGAACTCCATACTTGAGTCTGTACCACCACACTTTCTTTGGTGGTAGCAATGCACTGTCTTTTTGGACTTAGTTATTGCCTGATGATTTTGGGGTATCCAGTAGCTGCAGTTCAGCATGGCTGTCTTGATACCTTTTTATCAATTTCAGATCTGCCAACACTGGCAGACATGCTGTTAAAATACTGAGAGAGGGAAATAATTTGCGATCAGGAGATTCCTCTTTAAAATGTTATCAAACAATTCCAGACAATATAGCCAGAAATTCTGGAAGCACATACGATGTAGCACAGGCAATACAGTATTCACTGTTATAAGAATCAGTATTTATTATTTTTTCCCAGTATTAAAGCTACTTATACTTCAGTTTAATGATGATAAGTAAAGTACTGATTGATAATTCTCAGGGGAATTATCACAATATTTAATTCAAAATTATACAGGGAATAAATGTTTAAAATTGAGGAGGAAGAAATCAATACTGTGTACGTCCCAATGCACTGACTTAACCTCAAGATCAGCCTACCTTATTAAAATAAGAGTTACTGTTTTATATTCTACATTACACTGTTTTCTGCAGGGATACTAATAAAATGGTGATCTGTGATCTAAACCAGTATTTTGACAGAGCTCCTTAAGATCCACTAGTGGTATAAATTCCATATTAACTACATATGTAGACAGCTCCATCTTGTGGGAACAGTAATAAATGAACCCTCTTCAGCACACTAGTGAAAAAACTCCTGAGACAGAACTGCTTACCTTTAAAGAAATGAATCATCACAGTATTTAAAAGAAATTCACACTTTGTATCACAACCCTCTGATCTAGGTGTGAAGTAAGATGACAAACAAGTTTACTAATTTTCTTAAGACGCTGTACTCTTAGGACACTATACACATGCTATTTCAGAAGCTTCAGAAGGAAGTCTGACCTAAAGCACTGGCCTTTTTGAAAGTGTAAGTGTACTCGAGAGAGCCATGCCATCTCTGGCCATGGACAGAAGTTAGGCTTTTTCTCAAAACTGCAAACACAACTGAGGCGATGCACACCTGATTTACCCATTATGGAACATCACACATAGCACAGTATGGTTTATTTCTGATACTGAAGCTTATTTTCCATACACACATTTCAAAAACTACCTACACCTATCTGAATAAAGTAATTGCTACCTTTGAATAATTATCTGAAGGTGTATATTTCAACAGATTACGGCACTGCAAGCAATCCTGATAGCAATTTTGCACTTTACAGAGTTAAACTATCAGGCAGACAAATAACCATATTGCAGTATCTTGGAGAGAGACGGAATCCTGAAAGCATCCTATAGCTTATTCTTTTAAATTACAAGACAAAATTAATAGAATTTACAACACACACACACAGTTCTGTTGGGAAGAGAGTGAGGAAGTGGTAACCCTTCCATATGCATTTCTTCAGGAGACAACTACTACATGAAACTATGTCTACCCTAAAAATCTCTCTCTCACTTTAAGTTGCTTCACATGTCAGTGGAAGTGTCATAAAAACGGGCAAACATGCCTAGGCTACCAAGAGAAATTTTACATGTGTAATATATAGTTCTTTCAAATTTTGTTTACATTTATACACTTCTGAATAAAGAACCCCAAGGATCCTCTTCAGCTTTATGGGCTCCTGAAGTGGATGCCAGTGGTCTGAAATATAGCACAAATCTGAACTGAGCAAAGCTGAAAGACATGATCAGTTTGTATTACAATTGCTTTCAACCTGTGATCTATACAGCTATAGGAACCTATAGACAAGTAGTGGTTGATTCACACCATGAAACTCTGAAGAGTAAGCTTTTTCTCAGTACGGGTCTTCAAACTGGGGGAAAAAAAAAAAGAAAATCACTGAAGTTGGAGACAGAAGTTTGTACTTGGTTTTAGCACCAAAAAAAAAGAAAATATACAACATGCCATCTTAATTTTCAACCTGGAATGAGAGAACATAAACTTGAGCGACTAGTTAGACACCAGTACTGCAAATCAGTGACAGGGCAGGTGCTATTTTCAGTCCTAACTGATGGGGCAAGAAGGGCACCCATGAAGAGCACAAGCAGAGCTGAAGGATTTTTCTGGTAATGTGTAGCAGGTTATTTGTTTATATTTCCCAGAACTCTGTATATAGACAGAGAGACTTTTTTTTCTGACTCATCCCAACAACTGGACAATATGAGTCATATTAATGCCAGTCTATGTAAATACA